CGCTCAGCCGAAGGGTGGGGACCAGCAGGTGGGCGGGCCATGTGGGTGGCGCAGCCTTGTGTTCCCGCGCAGCCTGGATTAATTGCTTTGGGGGGAGTGCTTTGGGGGAGACATTTCTCTGCGGAGCACCAAAATTTTCTCGCGGACCACCACAGTGGTCCCCGGCCCACCGATTGGAGACCACTGATTTAGAGCATGATCCTTTGATGTTTAAGGGAAGGAGAAACCCTCAAACATCCCATTGGACATACTTAAAATATTCTTTTGGTTCCTGGCAAGGATTGTATGTGTAGATTTTTATTTGTTTGGTTTGATTCCCTTCTGAATTGATTCTGGATTTGAATTGGTAACTCTCCGTGCACAGTTCTTGCGTTTCCCAATAAGCTCCTTCGAGTTTGCTCCCTTACTTGAAATGTCTGAATTAGAATTGCTAGCAGAGTGGTTTCTTCTTTCAGCAATTTTCTGCCAAAGTCCCAAAACAAATGCATTAAAAAGAACCCCAGAAATGTTTTTCCCACAATTCCGTTCCCTCCCCACTTTTTCTCTTTTATGCCAGTTCACCAGAAGGCTTGCAAAAAATTAGGAGGGTAAGGAAAGAGCTAACATGACTCTGATTCATTAAATGAGATGACGGAAATCAACCACATTCCAGAAGTTACTAGCTTTGTACGGTATGTACAGGGCTGTTTTCTGAGAAAAGGCCAAAGGCCTGCTTTCTGTCGTTCCTTTGTTCAAACTCCAAAGTGTTTCATAAATTCTTTTACAGGGTAATACTACAAAAAAGTCAACTTCTCTAGAACATGTTGGGTGTGAACGGCCAGTCATGAGTTCCTCTTTCCTTTTCGTGATGGACATTTGGAGTGGGGGAAACCAGGCAGAGCCAGGCAGAGAATTCATTGAATCCACCTCAGTGGTTTTGGGTTGGCAACGTGCAGGGATTATTTCAGATTAGAGTGGACGTTAAAATAGCTCAACTGTGGGAAAACTGGGGAGTTGTGTGTCCTCTCTCTATCTGTAACCCCAATTTAGAACATAGAATAATAGAGTTGGAAGGGACCATGGAGGTCTTCTAGTCCAACCCCGTGCGCAAGCAGGAGACCCTAAACAATTTCAGGCAAATGACTGTCCAAGTCTCTTCTTGAAAGCCTTCATTGATGGAGTACCCACAACTTCTGAAGACAAGCTATTCCCTTAGTTAATTGTTCTCACTCTTAGGCAATTTCTCCTTAATTCTAGGTTGGTTCTCTCCTTGATCAGTTTCCACCCGTTGCTTCTTGTCTTGCCTTCAGGTGCTTTGGAGAATAGTTTGACCCCCCTCATCTTTGTAGGAGCCCCTCAAATATTGGAAGACTGCTATCATGTCTCCCCTGGTCCTTCTTTTCTCTAGACTGGCCATATCCAATTATTGCAAGCGTTCTTCATACATTTTATCCTCCAGCCCCTAATCATTCTTGTTGCTCTTCTCTGCCCTCTTTCCAAAGTGTCAACATTTCACAAGGCTCGCTTTTCTCGCAGAATTGTCCTGGTCATAAAAGCCATACATAGCATATGAATAAGACACTTTGACCTCATGCTGGCTGGGGGATTCTGGGAGTTGAAGTCCACAAGTCTTAAAGTGTCCAAGGTTGGACCAACCCTGTGTCAGACTATATAGGGTCATTCTTTGCATACATTTTTTTTTTAAAATAAAGGCACTTTAAATGAGAAGGCCATGGCTTTTGCCACCCGAAGGATGCCAATGAGAGAATCCAGTTGAGATGGTTTTGTGGAACGGAGAGAGGGGAGACCCAGGCCAAACGTCCCCGCTGCTTGTGTTATCATTTATCATTCAAAATAATTATTCTTGTCAGATCCTAAATCAGGAAATTAACAAACCGAGATAAATGAACAGGCTACCCCAGTTTCAGAGTGGGTTGTTTGTTTGCTTTAGGAATAAATTAAGGGCCCGTGAGAGGTGGGTAGAAATTCTTCAGTCATTTTGTGAAAAAGGATCTGGGTTCCACTTTTCAATGTATTTTAGACGTTGCTGTCCCAACCATGGTTGAGATTTACCGGGAATGCTAGCCACTGTGCAGACTGGATTTTGCAGAAGGGGTTTTGTGGTTCGGTTGCAACCCAAGCTCTGAGCCAGGATTCCTGTACCAAGACAATCGTTCTGCAGTCTGCATTGTGCGTTGTACCGTTGATGAGTAGAATTCTAGAGAAGGGAGAGGCGAGGAGGAGGAGGAGGCAGAGGCCCACCCGATGCTTCGTGCTGCTGTCCGAATCAAAGCTTCTCCAATTTCAACCTTACTTTGTGCTTCTGCTTTAGTATGTGCACAGGGCAATGGTACCCGCTACTTCTGTGGGTCATTGTTTTCCAACCTTGGCATTCTTCAGAATTGGTGGACTTCTGGCTGAGGAATTCTGGGTGTTGAAGTCCACACCTCCTAAAGTTGCCAAGGTTGAAAAACATTGCCCTGGGTCATTGGTTTCTATTGTTAAAACATTAGAAGTTTCTTCTAGCGTTCAATAGGAATGTTGTTTCAAGTAACTTTATGGACAGCGGTACAGCAGCACAAACTGTTGGGGAGAGAGGAAGCTTAATTCTGTTTTTTCAAGGTCTCCAAAATGTTCTTTGGTCTAAGTAGGGAATGGCAAGTAATGATTGCAGGGGATTTTTGCTGGCATATTTTGAATAATAACAAAGTTGCTTTCTAATTTCAGGTGTAACTCTTCTCAGGAGGATGTCTTGAACCAAAAGATGATGAATACAAAGATGAGGTGAGTTCTGTTTTCCAGAACATGGGATTTCCCCCCTAATATTAATAAATAATAACTTAAGACGGCAAACACATATAACACACCCTCTTCCTCCTATTTTCCCCACAACAACCCTGTGAGGTGAGTTGGGCTGAGAGAGAGGGACTGGACCAAAGTCACCTGGGCAACTTTCATGCATAAGGCAGAACTAGAACTCACCGTCTCCTGGTGATTGGCCCAAAGTCACCCGCCTGGCTTTCATGGCCTACGGTACCGTCTCCTGGTTTCTAGCTTGGTGCCTTCACCACCAGACCAAACTGGCTGTCCACTAGATTTATATATGGAGGCCACCATATCACATCCTCCAGGTCTTCAAGTGAATAATTAATTATTGTGTGAACTGAGTCACTGAAGAAGGAACCACAAGCTCGATTCCTAGTGACTTGATTAGAGACGGTCCCCTCTACAGTACTAGAAGGTCTGGGGTGGGATTCTCCCCATGCTGACGCCATTCGGGTCCCACCACTCACAATGTCTATGGAGATTCTCAACCATCCAGTATTTTTTTTTTCTTCAAAAGGCAATTGGACTTTCTTGGGTTTTTTTTTCTCTCTTCCTCCCCCCCCCAAAACCTGCTTCTCTTCTCATCCGAGACTCAGTCAAATTTGGGTAGCTGCTGCCCCCTGCTGGGACAACATTTAAATTGGACTCTGAGAACTCAAGAGGATGAGAAACTGAGGTGAGGGCCATGATTTGGTGTTAAATGTGATGCTGTCTTGTGATTCAGGAGCTTGTTATAAAAGATAAATTAAAAAAAAAGGGGGATGAGTTAAATTAAAAGGCGGCAGAAAGATAGTGGATGGATCCCGGAAGGGAACAGGATTTCTCTTTCTCTTCATTCAAAGGCTTTCAAGCAGAAGTGAGAAAAGCACTGTAGATGCCCTGACTTTGAATTTCTGGAGTTGGGCTAAATAACCTGCAGCTCCTTCCATCTTTGTATGATGCAGTTGATGCCTAAATAATGGCAGTGGAGTAGTGAAAGATCCACACCAGAGTATAACAGGCAGTAATGGTTGAACGTTGGAGCAGAGCAAGTCTGCAAATATTTTCTTTTAATTTGGGTTAATTTTAATTAAAATTTTAATTTTTATATTTAATTTAAAAGCCACATTTTTCTATATATCAACCAGGAGGAAGAAGGGGAAGGAAAAGAGTGATCTTGGTATCTTTTTAAACATTTCATAAAGAAATGTTATCTCCTGTAAGAAAAATGTCTTGAAGAATTCGCCAGTCGGTGTCTTTTGTGAACAGTCTCAGAGTCCCACTGCTTTGCTGTTGATGTCCATTAACTGCTGTTAGGAATGGTTTCTAATTTAGAACTTTTAGTCAAAGAAATATCCTTCCCTAGGGAAGAAAGAATTTTTTCAGCAGCGAAATAAAATCTGAATGTTTTTTTATATTCTTTACAGGTGGCAAGAGAAGAAATGAAAAAGAAAACAATATTTCAAGATAAGAGATGGAGGGAAAGGCAGCATCTAAAGGATTTATCCTCCCCTCCCTCACATAACAACTAGTGCTGTAGCCTGCACTATTATTAGACGGATGTCACATTTAGATCCTTTAAAGCTTAAAGCCTTTTAGCCTTGGTCAAGAATGAACCTTTTGATTACAGAATGCAGAGCAGAAAATCTTCCGTATTACTATTCAGCCACTGATGACATCCCCTGACCCTAAATCTCAGACTTACATCCTGGAGAGAGTTGGTGCCAGTTCCGTGCTGTTGCAAAGGGAGCCATGTGGAGAAGTCATCGGGAGTTGAGCACCACCAAAAAGAGCTTTACCTTTTTTATACTAGTGGGTCATGTGGACTTGCCCTTGAGGCTCCTCTCAGCGTATGCTCTGGTTTCAAATTGATCTGTTCATCATTCGCTGAGGAAATACCTTCATCTTCAACTCTGAACCAGTTGGCCTCTACAACAAGAGCAGGAAACTTGTGTTTACAAGTGGGAAGACGACCTCATTTGCATTTTTGGAGGGTCATCTGGAGGAGAAACTTGAGAGAAAGAAGCATCAGCAAACTCCATGGTGCCTCCTGGACTGGGTTGAGCTCCTGTTCTTTGCCTCAACTCCTGCCCACCTAGCAGTTCGAAAGCATGCAAATGCGAGTAGATAAATAGGTAACCACTTTGGTGGAAGACAACAGCGTTCTGTGCGCCTGTGGCCTATAGCCCATGCTTGGCCACATGACCACTGAAATTGTCTTCAGACAGTGCTGGCTCATTGGCCCTTGAAACAGAGGTGAGCACCGCCCCTTATAGAGGTAGTCGTCGGATTACAACCACAATTCAGCCCAAAATCTCTGTTGCTAAGTGAGACAGTGGTTAAAGTGAGTTTTGCCCCATTTTACATCCTTTCATGCCACAGTTGTTAAGTGAATCACTGCAGTTGTTAAGTTAGTAAGACAGTTGTTAAATGAATCTGGCTCCTTGAACTTTGCTTCTCAGAAGGTCGCAAAAGGGGATCACATGATCCCAGGAAACACTGCAACCGTCATAAATATGAGTCAGTTGCCAAGTGTCTGAATGTTGATCACGTTGCCATGGAGATACTGCAATAGTTGTGTGAAAAACGGTCCTCACTTACTTTTTTCAGTGGTCCTTGCAACTTCAAACGGTCACTACATAAACTATTGTAAATCGAGGACTATTTGTAGTCAGCAACGACTAGCGGAGTAAAATCCCTGGGGACTCCTTTACTTTGACCCTTGTGGCACATTTATGAATTTAGATAGGCTTAAGATAACGTTTTGAGAACGGAAAAGAGGTGCATTCAACTGCTTTTTCTTCCATGTGGACTCAGCTTTTGTTTTTATTCTTTCAGCTTCCTTCATCCTGAGAGTGGTTAAATATTTCCCACAGCAAGCTCAGAACTATATTTTGGCTTTTTCAAGAGGATGGCGCGGGGAGGGGAAAAAAAAAAGGCTTTCTCTTCAGGAGTCCTTCCCGTCCCAGCTTCATCGAAACGAAAAGGAAATAGCCACCATGCCTGAATACCTGTCTTCGACGTGTCCAGCTACAAGGAAGTCTTGCCTGGAGCTCCTTCAGGAATCTGGTTTCATATGGTGGTTTAGATTTAAGTACACAATGTCTAGCACCATTTGAAATCAGTGTTTTTGGGGGAAGAATGGCTGCGCATGGACCGGTCTTGGGAGTCCATAGGCTTCCGATAAAAGCTTCCGCGACCAGCTCGTTTACATTGGATTTATTGCCTCTTCACGTACAGCCTCGGCAGCAAAACTGACTTAATTATTAAGCCAGGTTGGACAATTGAAATGAACCCCTTACAGAAATATACCTGCCTTCTTAGGCAAGTCAGGAAGATACTAGGCCTTGGAAGTTTGTGTGTTTATGCATACTGTGAGAAATGTCATCGACAGATTGATCGCAAATAGGAGAGATTCAGAGCTGATTGCAAGAAAGTCTTAATAAGCTGACTCAGCAGAAAACCTCTCTTTCCAGAACGGTTTCTGGGCCACATTGTCACCATTTAAAATAAATTTAAGTCAAATATTTAGGGCTTGACGTTCCAGAGGATTCTTCCCCAATCCCCAGGTGTGTTGGTGCACCTGCCTGGAGGTTTGTTGGATTTGTATTCCCATGTATCTTTTGGGAAGACCCCAAATTGGAGAAAGATGGCAACCTGAGGCCTAACGGTATATAATGCCAACAGCTGAAATCCCAAACAAGAGCAGGGTTTGTTCTGTTGGTATAATTCATATCCCATTTCTTAGTTGGGGTTTATAAATATGGGAGTGAGGGGTGGTTCTAACCAAAATTACTTCAGAGATTCTCGGTAGCCACGCGTGCAAATTCATGGACTCGCAGATTCCAGTGACCCCTTTAAAGGATAACTGATTTCTTCTGGTGTTCGGAGTCTATTATTCTTTCTAGCACCATTTGAAATCGGTTATAGTGATTGGGGAATGTCGACCCGGAGAACTGGTGTTGGTGGCAAGACCTTGACGTGGAAGCTGAAACGCTTCCCACCAGCCGGCCTTTGGGATTACGAGAGAAAAGTGGCAACTTCGTGGTTCTCCTCTTCGAAGGGACACAAGGAACAGCCTACACAGCGTCGTGTGGTTGTGAAACCAATTACAGTGAAGGCTGCACTTTGCAGCAGTGGGAGATCGACTGTCTCTTGAGTGTGTGCAGCATTCAGGGAGAAAACAAGCCATGACTCATGTCAGGAACAAGCCCATCACCAAGAGCAATGACTTAATAGAATAACAGAGCTGGGAGGGACCTTGGAGGTCTTCTAGTCCAACCCCCCTGGCCAGGCAGGAGAGCCTATATCGTTTCATGGATTTCTTGGATGCTGCTGAGGAGGGAAGAAAAGGACACACTGGAATAATATCTCCAGCTAAATTCCTCCGCTTTCACACAAGTGTCATTCAGCAAAACAGGAACCACACACTCTGCAATGTGTGTGACTGGCCACGGGTACAGCAGGGGCCAATTTACGTTACTCACTTCACTGAGGTGTCCCTTACCGAAGCCATGCAGCAGAAAAGGTTCAGCTGCACACTATTGCACATTGGTAAGGCTGCTGAGGGTGTTGACGGAAGACGGAGCAAGCAGCGTATTGCGGAATGAGGCAACCCAGCCTTTTCTAATTGGTTGCTTTTCAGATGGGTAAATGAAGACTCAATCATCCAGGCCCAAAGTATCTAAAAGGGAGGGAGGGAGAGACAGAAAAAGGGGGGAAAGACACACACACACACACACACACACACACACACACACAAGAGACAGAGAGGGAGGGAAGGTAGCATGATGCCCACCTTAGACCACGTTACATGGATCTGAAGCCCCCTTGTGAAAAAGCTGCTGCAAATCCTGGCTTGGTCCAATTACACTGCGGAGTAGGCAGTGAACAAGGCTCCCGCAGGTCCTCAACAGGAATCATTGTATGCACGGATGTGGCAGGAAAGTGGGGTGGCCTTTTCCTTGGGTGCAAAAACGGGGGGGCTTGGCCTCATTGCCTTCCAGCCTCTCCAACCAGAACAGGATTGGAAGATGGTTCTTGATTGGGGCCCCTTGATCCTTTCAGATGCATTCAGGATTCAGAGCTTTTCTTTGAAGATACGATGCGATATCCAAGACTTATTTCCTGCCTGCATATATATATAAATATATAAAGTTTAGGTAGTAATTACAGCCTCTAGGCACAAGGGGGAGCCAGAGTTTATAGGAGAGTGATTGTGAACACTCTGCCTGTTTTAAGATTGACTTGGTTGTGTGCTTGTGACACCACAGCTTGCTGAAAATACCATACTTTCCTGGTTTATATGTGAAAACTCCTACTTTGTACCTCCGCACAATATATTTATCTCTACTGAGCCGACCCATTTTCTGAATCCAAATAGCACATTGAACAAAGTGGCAGTTCCCACAACATATTAAGCTAGAGATAATCATCATCATCTAAGATTAATTAAACTTGGTACATGAATCCTGGCCTGCAAACCACAATGACTGAACCATCACATTGGCTGAGTGCTGTATAAAATAGGCCACGTCTTACAGCCAAGGTGGTTTTTCTTCCAAAGGCAACTGGACTTTCTTGTTGCTTTTTTCTTTGAAAACATTTTGCTTCTCGTCCAAGAAGCTTCTTCAATTCATGACAACCATGACCTGAATGATTTGAGAGTGGGGAAAATTTTACATCTGGGCAAAGGTTCATTTAAACATCATATTGATTTTAATCCAATTTAACTGGAATTGGCTTTCTAATTGTAATTCAACAAAACTGAGCAGGAATGGGGCATTTCTGGATAGTTTTAAGGACAAGAGTCTGTAGTGTTACTCCACTTTTAAAATATTTGTTTCCTATAATACACACTTAAATTGAAAATTGCTACAGGGGCATTGCGAAGTTACATCATTGTGCCTGTGTCAACAGGTTAGCATCCTTGTGATTTTGCAGGAGGCACAAATGGTTTCCAGCATGTCCTTAGTTTGAATTGCACACTGTTATTGCAGAGAGGCAAATACGGTGGATAATTTGTTTATGACATCTGGAATTTGATTGATTATTAAATGTGTACATGGCCCAACTCCCAGCAACTCTGGGCAGTTCACAAGTAACACATACCAATGCAATAATAAAAAAAAACAAAAGATGGCAACAACCAAAAGCAGACACACTATCCAAATGAACCCAATCTATGGCATCTGATTAAGAAGGCAGATAAGAGGGAAGATGATGCAGAGCAGATCAAAATCACAAATACAGTCAGCTATCTCGAGACTTTTAAGAATTGGGCAAGTTTTGAAACTATAAAAGCAACAAATCACATCCACCGTTCAAAACTTAACACATCAGGGTATTCAAAGAAAAGACAAGCACCCCAAGTCAGAGACAAAGGCCTGAGTGTTAAAGGAAGTTTTAGCCTCTTCCTACTCTCACAAAAGCAGATCTTGGGTCATCTTCAGAAGCTCAACGCAAGAAGCTTCAAGACAATACAGTTAATATTATGTAGCCTGCCATGGAAGGGTTGGTGGGTCATCCATGAAAATGGCTTTAACAGGTGCCCAGATGTTTTCACTGGAAATCTGGGAAGCGGGGCAGTGGGATGGATGGAGACACCTCAGTCACCATTCTTTCAAACTTTGTATTCCTCATTTGAAATGTTTTCAAAGAAAAATCCAAGAAATTCAAGTTACCTTTTTGGGGGGAGGGAGTTTCTTGGAGCAACATGTGTTGCACTCCTTGGCTGCTTGATCCCTCCTCCTGGACCAGACCAGCTCCAGCCCATTCCATTTCTCTTCATCTTGGTTCTTCAAGCCTCAATCTACACACACACGCACACACTTTGTTCAGAGATTACTCCTGAATCTTTTGCAACCCTCAAATTGTCCAGCTAAGAGGAATCTCAGCTGAGCAAAGTGCAAAACACAAAAATATACAGAAAACAAGAAAGAAAAGAATATAGTGAAGAGAGGAAAGAAATAAAGAAGATAGAGACTGTTTAGGATGTATGATAGCACAAGAAGAGAAAAGGATCAATCACTGCCAAAGAAATGTACAAGCGAAATAGCAGTAAAAGTACATTGTAGTGGTGACTTGTAGTGATGAATATAGAGACAATGAATGAGGATACAGGAGGAAACGTCAAGGATGTGGATACAAATCAGACATCAGAACTTCTGTCAAGAAAAGCTGTCAATCAGTGGCTCCTATATAGGGTGGTTTCTTCAAGCAGAAGCTAGCTATCTAGTAAGGATATCCAAATATGAAGAGATTAAGTCTAATTCTAGGATCCTTTGAATTTAAAGAACACATTTTTAAATTGATCTTAGCAGTTGGGCAAGTAATTTAAGCTATAACATTTCTGCACAACCAGCAGATTCAATTCAGCACACTGCTAAGGGAATATATCACAAAGAAAATCAAAATATTACTTGGGAGTCTTGCCAAAATGTTCTATTCACATTTTCCCCCACTTTGAATTCAATGGCTTGCCTCCTGGGGATATTCCAAGTGAATGCATTTGTCTGTCCCACTCCATTCTTATCCTCCTTATCTCCCTGAAATGGCCATCCTAGAGAATATATCAACCTTTGTAGTGGATGTGGAGAGATTAAATCTTGATTATTTGTAGGATTGCCAGAACAGGCTATGTTCTAAAGAGCCAGACTGGACTCTTCAGCAGAAGGTTAAAAGTATGTAAATTGCAATTACTGAAAATAGGGTTGTCGGCAGCGGAGAATACTCCTAAAGGACTATTCAAGATTTATTTCTGGTACAACTGTTGTCACTTCCTCTTGTTTCCCTGCTTTTCAGTCACATTTATGAACTCTAAATTCTTAAAAGAAGAACGAGGGGGAAAAAAGCCCTCGTGGAATGAATTTTTCCACCAGCCTTATTTATTACATCCTTGTGGGTAAAATCAGAGGTGTCGTCTTCTCATGATGCCCTTTTGGAAAAAAAAGGAGGTGGATTATGGCAAAGATGAGGAAATCCCAGTTTGTGATGCCCCCTCATCCACAGAAGTCCCTTGATGGGCTTTGGCCAGTTCCTCCCCATCGGTCAAGAGCCCGGGTGGTGGAGGAGGGAACGGTCTAAGGGGAGAGCCAGCTTGAAGCCTACCTCCACCTTGACTTTAGCTCAGTGAGTGTCTCTCGATCCTATTTCACAGGGAGTATGTGGGAAAATGAAGAGGAAGAGGAAAAGTTAGGTATCTTTAGCTCCCAACCAAAGGCTGGATATGAAACATAAATAGGTTTCTGATTTCCAAAGCTTCCGTCTACGACAGTGATTGGCAACTGAGAGTCCTCTACATGATAAGAGCAACCATGACATCTTGACGATAGCAGCGTTACTTATTCAGTCATGTCCAATCCTTGGCGATTCTTTGGTCCAGGTCTCCACGTCTCGCAATCTTGCACTGCTTCTTTGAGTTGATCTGTGTTCTAGTGGGTGTCAGCTTTGATGGTCTTCAGCCACCGTGTTCTTTAGTGACCTGCTTTCATTCATAACCGGATAAATGGCCAAGATCCTAGCAGGTGGAAGTCATCATTTCTGGATTAAAGCAGATGTTCTAAAGTTGCCAAGACTGGATGAGAACAGCTGTCTCTCTCCAGTGGCCTGAGCCCACTCCCTCCAACCTGGCAGAGAAGGCATGCTTGTGGGTGCTTTCAGTTAGGGGTGGGGGTGTCTACATCTGGTAGGTACCTTGTCTGCCATGATGCCTACCTTGTGGAGCATTTACCCCTCCTGAAGTTAGATTGGCCCTCGGATTTTTCAGAAGGCCCTCAAGACCTGGAATTTCTACCAGGCCTGGGGCACCCCAGGACCAAAGATCTCTCCCCGTGACCCCTTTGCTGAGGGAGCTATTTCTATCCTCCCTTTGCCCAGGGTTAGAAGTTTTGTGGTTTTGCTAATTATTACTGAGATATTTTCTATTTTTTATCGATTTTACATTGGCGGATTTGTTTATTGTGCACTGTCAGAGTCTTCTTTGGGGGAGATGGCCCGCAATATAAATTTGATTAATAAATCAATAAATACATTCTTGGAGAGAGATCTCACAAGCAAGATACCTACCGTGTCTCCAGACGTAATGGTCTCACAAGTTTTGGGGCAACAACAGCAGCAGCAAAAGGTGGGATACTGCTGCCATCCTGTGAAACCTTCTGAGATCTAAGGTTATAGGTTGGTATTTGGATAGTCCTATTTTTTTTTAAAAAAATAGTCTTACTGAATGAGTATGTGATGAATCTATTGATATTATTTCTGGCTTATTAGTTCTGCAGTCAAGGAGCAAAAGGTTAATTAACGTGCTCAGCTGAGGAATTGGTGAATCTCTGGATTTTGCTTTTTCTCACAATTGTGTCTCTTAATTTCAAATTCTTCCCATTTGTAGGAAGGAAAATTGTGCACATATTGATGAGTTCAAAATAAACCAACTATGTTCTTGTGAATCCAGATCAAATTCAACGATCACATATATTTCACTCATGGAGGACTAGTTTGGGGACTGTAGTTCTTGCATTTAAGAAGCATAATAGATGCCATAATAGATGCCATAAACTTCTTCAAAATTTAGCACTAATTTTGCTCTTCATATTTCTCAACTACAAAAATTGCAAAAAAAAAGGGGGGGGGAGGAAGGGAGAAGACAGGTGTTCTGTGGCATGCATGAACCCGTCTCCTTCAGCCACCAATTTTGCAACTTTGGCAACTCTGGCTTAAAGTTTGAGTGGCCTGCTAACTCCAGGCCTGAAGTGCGAATGGCCCCTGGGACTCTGCTGCCATTGTTAAAGACGAGAAAGCTCTAAAAAAAAAACTGACAATTTTTGTGAGCACCACAAGTGAGCCCAGAATTTTGCATTCTGAATTGGAAAAACCAAGAGTGTAAGAGCCTTTTGCAATCCTTTTTGGAGAGAGCCTTTTTCTTCCCTATCTAAATTTTTAAACTCTATTACAAATAAACAGATGTGTCAAGTTTTTTTTTAAAAGAAGCCCAACAACTTAATAAAAATTTCCCTTCCCTCCAGGTTCCTAATCAATGGAAAACAAAGCACATTACAATCAGGCTGGCGCTATCTTCCCCTTTAATGCCGCACCCAGGTTTTCTGATATGCGCATCCAGATGAGATTCTGGTACATAAGTTCCTCCAGCTTGAATTGCAAACCTTGAGGTGAACTAGGGATTTCTTTCTTAAAAAAATATTATCAGGACTGATGTTTTAGAATTTAGATTCAAGACTCATCCTTGCATTTAATGCCTTTCCAAAATTGCTGGGGGCAATCTTCTGTTCCTTTATAAATCCTAGTTGTGGAGGGACTTTTCACAGCCTGGACTTCCTTCTCAAACTTCAGACTTGTCCATGCCGTTCTCACCATCACCTTCTCCCGCTCCAAGGATTGCACAGCCAAAGGTGAGTCTTGCACCCTTAAAGTGTGTTTTCAGTGTGTTCAGAATAGCTGCTGTATATCATAGCCCTCCTGTACTTCTGAATAACTATTCAAACTCGGATGGATTCTTTGGCTGAACCGTTTGGCCATATTTATACTTTTGGGTAATTGGTGCTAACTGGCTTGATGATAGACCCACTTCATTGTTTCCTTGCCAGTCAAACTAGGTTGCAATTCAGAAAATAATTAAGAAAAATAAGCTCTACAAATGAGCATCTCTTGTTTTCCAGTACTGTGCAAACAAAGGCTGGGTTTATATAACGGCCCTTGGTAGCTTGCTTTTTCCCACAGGATTCCCTGAATCAGAAACAAACCAAATAGCTGTCTGAGCTCTTTTGAACATACTAAGCCACAAGAAAGCTAACCAAAGCTAAAACTAACAACCTTTGCAAGTTGTACGAACGCAGCCATAGATATTTAACTGGCGTGGTTTTGCACGTTTAAGGGAAGAAGCTGTAGAACTAGGATGGGTGAGTTGGGGGTTCAGTTCAGGGCATCTAGAATGAATGGCAGCTCAACTTCAGGTGAACGTTACAATTCGAGCTTCTCAGGTCACTGATCCCACAGTCAAATGCTCTTTCTATTTGGACTTCTTTTTTCCCCTACATGGAGTTAGCATCATTGGTCACTGCAATCTATGTATTGGATGATGATGTTATCCAGTCAGTTGTGCCTGACTTTGATGATTCTCTGGGCCAATCTTCTCTCCACGTCTTCCAATCTTGCACTACTTCCTTGAGTTGTTCTGTGCCCTGGCTGGTGTCAGCTTTGTTCTATATATTCAAGGAAGATAATACTGGGGTTTACTGCTATACAGTAAAGATCTGCTTCCTATACAGGTAGTTCTCAAGTTACGACCACAACTGAGCCCAAAAGTTATCTTGCTAAGTGAAACATTTGTTAAGTGAGTTTTGCCCCATTTTAAGACTTTTCTTGCCACAGTTGCTAAGTGAATCATTGCATTTGGTAAGTTAGTAAGCCTGTCGTTAAGTGAATCTAGGCTTCCTCATTGACTTTGCTTGTCAGAAGGTTTGCAAAAGCGGATCATGTGACCCAAGGACCCTGCAACCGTCATAAATATGAGTCAGTTGCCAAGCATTTTGATCATGTGACCATGGGGATGCTGCAAAGGTCGCAAGTGTGAAAAATGGACATAAGTCACTTTTTTTCAGTGCTGTAACTTTGAACTGTTCCCAAATGAACTGAACTGACCCATCAATTTCCTGGTCAGGACAGGGATCCCAATCAAAGCACCCCAGTGGGTATTGTCCAGCCTCTCATGAGTGACTCCAACAAAGGGGAGGCCAACCACCTTTCTGGGTGGAGGTGGAGAACCTACAACCTCATCCGTGGACTGTTCCTTGATTGTGCAGCTCATGGTCAGAGCTTATTTCAGCAAGCAGGACAATGTTTTTCTGAATCGCAACCTGGACATTCATTATTTCTCTCTAGGATCATAGAAAAGAGTCCTTGACCGTCCTTCCTGCATCCACATACCATCATCTTTCCCCTAAGTTGTGATACTGTTCAGAGATTCCTTCTTAGTGCCCCAGAGTTCTGGAGTTGATAACTTTGTAGGAGGAGGGCCACGTTAATCGGCAGGGACAACAAATCCAGAGGAATCTGTCAGCCCCCTTTCCAACTAACAGAATTGTTTAAAAGCATCAGCTTTCATGAGTTGCAGATCATTTCATTGTATGCATAGTGAGATAAGAGTTGGAAGACACTTAGTTCATGTCTATCTGTTCTTCTCTTGTCATGTTAAGACAAATTACAAAATAACTTGAGTTGGAAGGGACCTTGGGGGTCTTCTAGTCCAACCCCCTGCACAACAGGAGACCCTATAGCATTTCAGACAAATGATTGTCCAATCACTTCTTGAAATCCTCCAGTGATGGGAGCACCCACAACTTCTGAAGGCAAACAGTCCCACTGATCAATTGTTCTGTCAGGAAAGAAAAATGGGAAGACACAGAATATTACTTAACATGGAATAGATTTTACAAGTGGTTAGAGATAAGAGGTAGAAATTAGATGAAGAAAGATTATTGCTATGTATGAATTAAATATAAAGAGGGTTTATAATTGCAAATACGCCAATATAATCAACAGAATCACAAATGAGCTAGTACGAAGAGAAATCTAGTTAAAACTATTCTGTTACACTATTATTATTATTGTTTTTAGTATATGTGTTAATATTCCTGTTTGTTCTTTCTTTGCTTTTCTGTAAATGATATGCCCTCACAATACACTGTATTCAAAATGTTTATGAATTAAAAAAAATACTTTAAAAAGGAAAGAAAAATTGGGCATTTTTCCTTCTCCCCACAAACAAAAAAGTGTGAATGTGAATGTCAAGAAACATACAACAGGGTAGAAAAGAAAGCAGTGGCGCTATTGGCAGTGGTGGAGGAAACGGGTTCTTGCTCATCATTGTGTGAAGCCATAAACTCTTTTAATCAATGCTTTGCCCAGGTAGGAGGGCAAAGGTGTCTGGTGAGGATTTTGACAGCCATCTTCCTTCCAGGCCCAGAGCTTCACAAGCCATGTTGTTGCTGTCATCCCTGCTTTTGATGGTTGCCTGCTTTCCCCTGGCTGCAAAAGCTGAAGTGGTCCAAGACTTCAAGAACTGCCTTGAGTTCTTTTTGGATAAGTTACCACCCGGAGATGCTCTGACGCCGGGCAACCCTGCAAGGATTTGCCAGTTTTACAACAACGCCTACCGTTTTGCCACCATGTATGACCGAGAGAAGCGCATCCCCATATACTCCGCTTACAAATGCAAGCCCGGACAAGGTCCCAGATACCGAGGTTGGATGATTGAGCCTCAGGTAAAGGCATGTTTTCCCCTCACCTCTCTGGGTCTAGAGATGGTCTGCTTCATACTGTTTCTAGCTGTTGACCCATCTAGCTCTGTCTTTCTCAATCTCCACGGCTTTAAGCTATGTGGACTTTTGGATTCTGAAGATGTCCAGAATTCCCCAGCCGTGAGGGGTCCTTGGTGCTCTCTAAACTTGGTGGTCTTCTTGCAGACATTTCATTATCCAAACTCTGCAACCTCATCTTTGCTCTGATGATGTTGCCTAGTTGGGTGATGAAACGTCTGCAAGAAAACTACCAAGCTCAGAGAGTATCAGGGACCCCTCATTTCAACCCTGAGCTACCAATATTCTGTTTTATTGATTCCCCAACCAGTATGCAGAGAATTTGGTCTTATGTTCTAGGAAGGCAGAGTCTGACATAGATCAATCATCTATCTAGCTGTATCTATCCTCTATCCTTTCTCTCTCCCACTCCCTCCTTCCCTCCCTCTCCCTTTTCCTCTTCCTCCCTCCTCCCTCCCTCCCCCATATTGCTGACATCACCAACCAAGAATATTGGGGTGCTTCCCTTTATCAGAAGTGTTAAAGTGAAGACTGAAAGGCAATTTATTTGGGTGGTTTTAATTTGGATCCCTTGCATTGAAAGAGATTTTGGATTCCATCACCTCACTTCTATCATTTCTATGTGCCTAACATTCTATAATAGTCCAGGTTCTTCCTTCGAAGCTCTCCTTGGTTGATTCCCCCTAACCTGGGTTGCTGTTGCGTTTTTCCATTGAGCTACTAACTCTGTTCCATGTGTTTTCCAGCTTGTAGATCCCACTTTAGGCAAGAGCATGGAGGACGAGCGTCAAGCCAACATTCCTGCTGATATGATTAAAAAGAGCCAGGCCATTTTTGAAGATTACACCCAATCCTTAAGTATTGAAAAGGGACACTTGAATCCAGTGGGCCATCAGCCTGATGAAGACAGTCGAGCTGCCACTTCCACCTTGACTAATATCGTGCCCCAGTTCAGCAAACAGAACCAGGATGCCTGGGCAAAGTACGAGAACCATATCCGAAAGGAAGCTCAGGCCTGCCTTGACATGTATGTCATTGCGGGGGTTGTCCCAGGAAAGGAGTATATCTCGGAGCACCGGCTCAATAAACCTAGCCACATCTGGTCCGCAGCGTGCTGTGTGAAGGATAAGAAGAAGAGGGCTTCATGGGCAGCCATTGCAAAAAACAGTGAGAATGAAGTAAAAGAATGGAGCTTGGAGAAACTACAGAAAATTCTTGCTGAACTCTATGGGCGGGAGAACATTGATCTGTTCAACAGCTCCTGTTAAGAGATACCCAATTGGATCATGGGCGTGCATGAGAGACTGAGCTAGCCAATGGCAGATAGAATAGATCACTGAATGATTCTGTGAGCAACTCAATCTGCCTGCCTGCTTTGCCTGATTTTG